AAATGACACTTTGCTACAATGTCAGATAGTGAGTGTACAGCTTGTATAACAGTGTAAATTTGATGTCCCCTCAAAATAACTCAACACACGGCCATTAATGTCTAAACCACTGGCAACAAATGTGAGTACACCCCTAAGTGAAAATGTCCAAATTTGGCCCAATTTGCTATTTTCCCTCCCCGGAGTCACGTGACTCCTTAATGTTACAAGGTCTCAGGTGTGAATGAGGAGCAGGTGTGTTACATTTGGTGTTATCGCTCTCGCTTTCTCATACTGGTCACTGGAAGTTCAACATGGCACCTCATGGCAAAGAACTCTCTCACGATCAGACAGGCAAGGTCCCTGTTGTAAAGCAGAAACAGATTACTTTGATCAGCGGCCCCACAATCAGAGTGAGCAAGGAGTTAATCCCTGTGAGACTGTGATGGATTTTCAAACTGGCAGGTCTCAGAGTGGGAGGGCAGAATAGAGACTGAACTGGGAGATTGTGATAGTTTTGTTAGCAGCTGGTTTCAAATTATAAAGCAAATGTAAAGGGCTAAATTGTATAACTTCATACACAGCCAAGAACATAAAGGACACTTTAAATTTAAATAACTGTGTCATCTATAGGACAGTATGTTAGTCTTGGTACTTTATGGGTGAAAAGAAGCTAAGAAATTTTGAATTGTTCCTCACTTTCAGTCCTTGTGACTGTGGTCACCCACACTTATGGGATACAGACAGCAATTAAAAACTAAAAATAATAGCAACCAGCACACAAAACTAATAATCTAGATTGAAAGTTGGTTGAATTCCCATATCAACAACAAGACAACACCAATTTTTAAAGAAGGCACGGTGTCACTCTTTGTCAAGGTGATAAGTAAAGAACTCTGCTTGTCACCTTGATAAAGAGGACCGCCGTGCCCTCAAAAAGCTGCTGTTTACCTGTTGCTGATATGAAATTTCAGTAAACTTTCTATCTGGATTATCAGTTCAGTGTTCTGTCTTCCTCTTGTCATTAGAGATACTTAGTATATCTGTTTAGCCATATGACTGCCCTTATTTAGGAGTCCTTTGAAGTCTGTGCAGTATATTAGGATATATTTTCAAGCTTTAAAAATAGACAGGTGTTCTAACCCATTGTCACTCTATCCAAAACTTAGATAAAGTTTTCTCTTTTTGATATACTTTAGCCTCCTCAATAATGAGCACTTTCACCCCCTTCCTGCCCAGGCCAATTTTCAGCTTTAGGCGCTCTCACACTTTGAATGACAGTTGATCAGGAACAACACTGTACCCAAATGAAATTTTATTCTTTTTTTCACACAGAGCTTTCTTTTGGTGGTATTTAATCACCACTAGGTTTTTTTACTTTTCGTAATCTAAATTAAAAATTTTTGAAAAAACGCGTGTTTCTTAGTTTCTGTTATAGAATTTTGCAAATAAATAATTGTTCTTCATAAATTTAGGCCACAATGTAATCTGCTAAATTTATTTGGTCAAAGTAATCCAAATCAGTTTATGTTATTTATTCAATGAAAATTGATCAGTCCTGATGTACTGACTACCCGTCTCATTTCTTGAGGCCTGAAAGTGCCAGGACAATACATATACCACCCAAATGAGCACTTTTTGGAAGTAGACAGTCTAAGGTATTAAGAGGTATGGTGAGTTTTTTGAAGTAATTGTCACAATTTTCAGTTTTTTAACAACTTTTTATGAATGACATCCATTCATCCATTGTGTTCTATTGTGAAGATGTGACTGGCCACAGCTTTCACATTGTACAGATGCACTTTAATCGGACCTGTCTGTACCATGTGATCACTCTGACCAATCACAGAGATTCTACACAATAGTCAACTATAAATGGAAACCATTCATTGTGTACAATTACCATGTAATCTGCTGTGATTGGTCACAGCTATCACATGATACCAGCAGCAGCCTAATACACTGATATGTTATCCACTGTGTCCAGTGGACACAGTGGGTGACAAATTGTGCCACAGCAGGGTTCGTGGAACGATCCTGGGAAGTTGTCATATGATGTCCACCCAGGAGCAGCCTGTCAGCAGGACCCAAGGGTCTTTCCACTTGGCAGACCGGGACCAGCATCTATGACGCAGTTACCACAACATTACTTGTTTTGTTTTTATCTGTGAGTGCAATTCCTTTGATAGTTAAATATTTTATCTGCCATATCAGATGGAGCTTGTTCTCTCTTCACTTTATGTATTTATTTTATTATTAAGTGCCATCAACTCAAGTCTGAGTCCTAGTGACTTGATGAATACAAGCTCTAAAAAGAAGTCTGCTTTGTGCTAGCCTTGTGAGATCCTTCATTTTCATTCCCACAGCTGTAGTAAATGTGTCCAGCAACCTAGTAGTCGGTCTCCCTCTTCACCTGGTTCCTTCGATCTTCTCAAACATTATTTCCTTCTCCAGGGATCTCTCCCTTCTAATAGTGTGACCAAACTAGGACAGTCACAACTTCATCATTTGAGCTTCTTGTGACATAGCTGGTTTGATCCCTTCCAAGAGTGATCTATTAGCTCTATGGGATGTCTATTGCACATGTAAAATCTTTCTCCAGCACCAAAGCTCAATGAGTCGATCTTCTTTCTATCCTGCTTCAGTAGTGTCCAGCTCTCACAGCCGTAATTGACAGCTGAGAAAATGAGAGCATAGACAAGTCAAGGACATGGATGATAGTAAAGCAAAAGAAGCTTGATAAGGAAAACAAATGCAGCCACCACACCAAGCAATTTTAATCAGCAAAATTTTACATTTTTATTTTTTTTTTTGTTTAGATATACTTTAAGCTCACCATTCTGAATGTACTATATCCTTTATATTTATGAATATTCTGCAAGACCCGCTTAAACTATCAGTCCAGGTATTATCCACCCAAACAGTCACCTACACTATATAGTTGTTTGTTGATTTAAAGGAGATCATTTAATCAGATTTTAAGGTATGTGTTGAGCTTTTAATGTGGTTCTCCATTGGCCAAAAAATCTATATGAATATATTTCAGAGGAAGAATGCTTATTATACATGAAGAAGAGTGTGTAAAAATTTCAATGTGAAATTAGTGGATATAAGCTTACTCGCAGCTGTATTCTTTTTATTTCCATTTATACAGACTATATTTATATATATATATATATACACACACACACAGTGTGAGTGTGTGTGTGTGGTGCATATATATATATATATATAATTTATTTGTTTTAGAAAAATGCAATCACAGGTCACTTAATCACAAATATATTTTGATATTTTTCTGACTTCAGGGCACAAATTCAAAGAAAAAGTGTCTCAAATTAATTTAAGCGCTTTAGTTGAATTTTAAGTCTGATCCATTCTGTTCTGTCTTAGTAAATTTCCTGTATGGATAAGTCAACCCTCTGTAGTGTACAATGATGGGTAATAAATACTAAATGATGATTTCATTGTCCAGAGTTATAATATCATATTTGTCAGAAGACCGAGTATGACTTTATTGCAACTTTGAAGCCGACTGTGAATTCTAAGATTGATACATCCTTCTACAATACACTCCTGTTCTATTTCAGTAGGAATCGTGTGTTTAGTGTGCATTTGTGCTGTCTGTCAAACGTCTGCATCTCTTATACATCTGAGCTGTCAAATGACATCTTTTAAACTACTTGAGCAGCAGTAAATAAACCTAGTCTGTTTACTGTGTTTTGACGTATTTGTGTTCTCCGTCTGGAACTTCTGTTGCGCTTTTTCATGACTATTTTTGCTGGGCTACAAATCAAATCTAACCGATTTTATTACATGTCCTTTTTAAAATTTAAAATCATTTTCTTTTTTTTGTAAAGGGGAGAAATAAATTTTAATGGAAGGTGGATATATATAATAGATGTTTCATTTTACCAATGTGGATATTATTTGGCATTGTGCTATTTGTGCTTGTAACTCTAGAGCAAATGGCAGGTTGGCTCTTCTAACTACCCCCCCCCCCCCCCTTGACCATAAAGCATTTTCCCCTCCTAAACATGGTTATTAAGGGCCCGTTCACACCATATGTGCATGAAAACCGATGGAAACTGACACGCAGATTTCACTTGCATATATCAGTTTATATCAGTTTTCATGCACACTTAAATGAGTTTTATATACCTTGCAGATTCCTGAGCAGAAAAAATCTGCACATGATACTAGTATTGTGGTGTGAACAGGGCACATAGAGAACAATTGATTTTTTGTTCCCTTGCAGAACGTGTGCAAAAAAAAAAAAAGGACGTCTGCACATTGGTGTGAACAAGCTCTCAATCTAAAGGTGTATGAACAATTCACTCTGTCTTTTTTTAATACAAGTTTAAAAAGTGGTCAAATATTCATTGTTAACAAACAGAACACTAAAATATGCATTGATCGTGTGCAATATCTAAAACTATATACTGAAGGAAAAAGTGATATGCATTGACCATGTGCAATCTCTAAAACTATATACTGAAAGAACAGGGGCTTAGATAACTTTTTGCTCTGGTGGGGGGTTCAGCAGCTGACTGGTTGCCATGGACAACTGCTCCACATTCTGTCTGCATATTCTGTCCCCGTTTTGATAAATTTCTCCAAATGTCCCCAAATGAAAAGTAATACTAGCTGTATGGCTACTGAATGTTTGTGTCATAATTTTATGCAATGTTTTACAGGTTAAAAAAAGTGCACTGCGTGCCATAAGATGCTGTCCTTAGCACCTGCTCAATTATAGTGTGCAAACTGAACAGATACAAAGTGAGAGTGCTACCTACCTACCACAAAATGGTGCCCTTTGCACCTGCTCAGTATGGTTGGCTATTATAGCCCAAAGGGTAGCATTTTGCGTCAGGCAACACACTCACTGACTTTTTTTTAACCTTTACAGATTAAAAATAGGCACTGCCTACCACAAGATGGTGCACTGGAGCCGACCTTAATGGGCAAAGGGTGCCATCTTGTTGCAGGCAGCACAGTCACGATATTTTTTGTTAACCCAGCATACAGGACAGGAGAAGTGGGACTGGGCGGAGTCCATACATACAGAATAAGGACAGATACCGAGAATTATACCCAGTATACAGGACAGGAGAAGTGGGACTGTGCAGAGTCCATACATACAGAATAAGGACAGATACCAAGGATTACACCCAGCATACAGGACAAGAGAAGTGGGACTGTGCTGGGTCCATACATACAGAATAAGGACAGATACCAAAAATTACACCCGGCATACAGGACAAGATAAGTAGGATTGTGCAGGGTCCATACATACAGAATAAGGACAGATACCGATAATTACACCTGGCATACAGAACAGGAGAAGTGGGACTGTGCAGAGTCCATACATACAGAATAAGGGCAGATACCTGGAATTACACCCCGGTATACAGGACAGGAGAAGTGGGACTGTGCAGGATCCATACATACAGAATAAAGACAGATACCGAGAATTACACCCGGCATACAGGAAAAGAGAAGTGTGACTGTGCTGGGTCCATACATACAGAATAAGGACAGATACCGAGAATTACACTCGGCATACAGGACAAGATAAGTAGGACTGTGCAGGGTCCATACATACAGAATAAGGACAGATACCGAGAATTACACCTGGCATACAGAACAGGAGAAGTGGGACTGTGCAGGGTCCATACATACAGAATAAGGACAGATACCTGGAATTACACCCGATATACAGGACAGGAGAAGTGGGACTGTGCAGGGGTCATACATACAGAATAAGGACAGATACCTGGAATTACACCCGGTATACAGGACAGGAGAAGTGGGACTGTGCAGGATCCATACATACAGAATAAGGACAGATACCTGGAATTACACCCGGTATACAGGACAGGAGAAGTGGGACTGTGCAGGATCCATACATACAGAATAAGGACAGATACCGAGAATTACACCCGGCATACAGGGCAGGAGAAGTGGGACTGTGCAGATCTATACATACAGAATAAGGACAGATACCTGGAATTACACCCGGTATACAGGATAAGAGAAGTGGGACTGTGCAGAGTCCATACATACAGAATAAGGACAGATACCTGGAATTACACCCGGCATACAGGACAGGAGAAGTGGGACTGTGCAGAGTCCATACATACAGAATAAGGACAGATACCTGGAATTACACCCGGTATACAGGATAAGAGAAGTGGGACTGTGCAGGGTCCATACATTCAGAATAAGGACAGATACCAAGTGGGGAATTACACCCAGGCAGGAATACAGGATACAGGAAGGAGAAGTGGGACTGTGCAGGATCCATACATACAGAATAAGGACAGATACCAAGAATTACACCCGGTATACAGGACAGGAGAAGTGGGACCTGTGCAGGATCCATACATATCAGAATAAGGACATACATTACAATACAGGACAGGACAGTGGGATATCCAAGAATTACAGATACCGGCATACCCGGTATACAGGACAGGAGAAGTGGGACTGTGCAGGATCCATACATACAGAATAAGGACAGATACCAAGAATTACACCCGGTATACAGGACAGGAGAAGTGGGACTGTGCAGGATCCATACATACAGAATAAGGACAGATACCTGGAATTACAACACCCCGGTATACAGGACAGGAGAAGTGGGTGTGCAGGGACTGTGCAGGATCCCATACATACAGAATAAGGACAGATACCAGATGGAATTACACCCGGTATACAGGGCTTTCTCCAGAACACAAACCACTACTGTGTAGTGTTCACATATGCCTAAAGGAGAAGCACAGCCAAAGCTTTTTTGGCTGTACTTTTGTGGGTCACAGGAGTGCAGTTAGTTCTGTATTCCTGTGACCCGTTTTCAGCTGACAGCACTGTTGGCTGAAATAACTCAGCTGGTCCATGCTGGGGAAAGATCCTGACTTTAAAGACAGGATCCTATCCAGACTCTGGAGCAGCATCTGGCTCAGCCTCTTAGCAATTAGACAATGGCAACTGACAGTCCCACTCTCTGCTCAGAGTGGCTGTGAGAACTCAGAGATGGTTTTGCTGTGATTGTTGTGTGGTTTATTGCACAGTAAACTGCACTGTGCGAGGCTTTACTGTGTGATAAATCACACAACAATCACAGCAAAACCAAGTTGTGTTTAGGTGCCATTTAAAAATGAATGGCACACAGACATGCATGCTGCATTTTGACAGTATTGCAGTGTGTTTTGGAATTGTGGGCAGAATCACAGCGATTCCACCCGCAATCTCAAATTGCTAGATGTAAATAGGGTCTAACACAACATCTATAGAAGACAGGCCAGCCTCAGTGCTCAGTCACTAACTTTGCCAGTTGCCACACAGTCTCTCACCTATAGGTAATACCTTGATGAAGAGAAAAATGCCATTGCCACCAGCGCCAAAGCAGTATTGGGTTAGTTTGAGCCTGACTGATGGCACTCAGTGAGACAAAGCCAAATAGAAAAGAGAAACACATCTTGAGAAGTGAGGAGAGCAACAGCAGCCAGAGGTCATCCATGCTTGGGGCTGGCGCCTACACGCCACAGCGTTCGACGCTCCAGGACCCAGGCAAAGCTCCTCCCCCCAAGGCAGGAAGTAGCACTGCAAGCCAATGGGAAATGAATGGTGGGCGGGACAAGTGCCAGCAGCTCGTGCTGTGCTCAATGAGCTGCCTTGTGTAGTAATAGAGCTCTGTACAGACGCTGTCAGCCTCAACCCGGCCTGGCAGAAACAGCGTGAATGCAGACTGTGGAATGATTATACCGTCATTGAAGCTGTTCTGCTGTGTTGCTTAAAAGAAAGAAAATGGAATGATCAGGTTCTGTGCAGCAGTAGGGGCAGTGACAAGCAGCGATCTCCTGTATGGCTTTCAATAAAGCTGCTGGAAGCCGATTCTCCTCCTCTCCATCCCGTGGCTTCCAGCTGCTTTATTGAAAGCCATACAGGAGATCGCTGCTTGTCACCGCCCCCACCGCCATCCCTCCCACACACCCCTAGTCCCGGTGCTGCTCACACCCCCACCTTATTTCCACTCGCGAGCGAGTGAACATTTTGAGGGGTGCAGAGATGGTTGGCAAACTCTCATCTGGAGGAGGTTCAGACCCCCCCCCCCCCCGACCCCTCCCCCCCCCTTTATCTACACCCCTGTGAAAGAAGATTGTGATCTAGAGCACCGAAAAGAGTGGTGCACTTCCATCCCTAAACCCATATATCCAAAAAACAAAGCATAGTAAATGGGAATTTAAATGCAATGCAACACATTAAAATGATAACGTGATCATTACATATGATTGCAATTTTTTTATTCCATATATACAGATCTCATTAAGGTAAAATCCAGTTAAGAATAATATTGAGCTGATTTGTAATAAGAAATCATACATGACCATAAAATAACACTGTTCAACAGGTAAAAAGTTTTGGGCATAAAAATTAGCTAATCTTACATAATTTTGGGGTGCTGAAAATGAAAATGACCCTAAAAAATGTTGATTGGCTCTAGTTTCCATGATATATTCACCCATCTAATGACGTAAGCCATTCAAAATTATGATGCAACTTCAGCTGCATATTGCGCAATTGATACTGGTGACCAATAGAAAATTGCATGTATACTGAGATGATGCAATATTAGCCTTTAATTGCATCACTTCACTGCATAAAAGCTGCAGTATCTGTAGCTGATTGTAGTTCGACAGCGTCTTTACATTTCGTTTTATGCTTATATAGGCTACTCAGTAATGCCTCGAACTTGTGTGAATAAAGCAGATAATTTCTGCTATATCTGCGGTGAAATAACTTTTATCTCACAAAAAAGGAGGATAACAGGAATGATTAAGAAAGCCTACAACTTGTATTTTGGCTGCAAGATAGGAGACCAGGACAAGAGCTGGGCACCACATATATGCTGCAATTCTTGTGGGACGGCACTGGAGCAATGGTTGAATGGAAAAAAGGCATCTATGGCTTTCGCTGTGCCAATGATTTGGAGAGAGCCAACAGATCATGTTAGTAATTGTTACTTTTGTATGGTGCCTCCAATTGTAAAAGGGCTAAATAAGAAGAAAAAGTTATCTGTGCACTATCCAAATATTCCATCGGCAATACGTCCAGTTCCTCATGGAGAGGGGCTACCAATTCCTAAAGCACCAGAATCCTTTGTGGTTGAGTCAAGTGAGGAAGAACCTGAAGCGTGTAGTCACGTGCAGTTGTAAGAGATAGCCCTTTCCTCGAATACAAGAGAAAAGCCAAGAGAAGCAAAACCGACACAAACTGAAGACAAAACTAGTGAGAATCCTAAGTATTAAAATGATTCAACTTAGCTTATGGCTATAATGTTTCTTGGTAATCCTATGCAATATATTATGCCATTTAGGCTTTGTTATGTAGTCAATATCACTTGCTTTATATTTGTGGAAAGACATCTATCTATATAATTATTGTGCATTATGTAGTCATTACGCCTATAGTAGAAAACTTTCCGTTTACAGAAAAACTAGAGCCAATTGACAAATTTCATTGTTATATTTGAACTCAGAATGTGAAATTCATTAAGAAATGGATCCTTTTGTTTCCAAAACTGGCAAAAAATAAAAAATTGTTGAACAGTGTAATCAATTAATTTGTGATTACATTGCTCTTGTATGTAGTCCAGATAGAAGTACCTGATTCTGTAACACATTGCATCCAAAGCTTGACGCGTTTTGTGGATCTCAGTCCATTTCCTCAGAAGCAGATACAAAGTACATATCTGCAAGAAATTAAATGCTAATAAATACTTGTATGGTATAGCCACACAAATGCACCCCCCCAAAAAAGAAGTGTATAGATATATATATATATAGCCCTTGTACGTACAAAGTAGCTAAAAGAATTAAATAACAGCACCGGGGATATGAAGTCCTCAGAACATCTGCCCCAGAGACTGGTAGTATGACCTGCATAGACCAAGAGGGGTAAATGGAAGGCAGACTGAAAATTGATAAGATGATCCATAGTAATGCCCACAGAAGATATCAGTTTTATCTGTGAAATTATGAATTATCATTACTAAGAAAATGAGTGTATAAGTATACATATTTATTTCAGGTACTTATATAGCACTGTCAATTTACGCAGCGTTTTACACATATATATTGTACATTCACATCAGTCCCTAACCCTCAAGGGGCATACAATCTAAGGTCCCTAACTTACATTCATACATACACATATTAGGGCCAATTTAGACAGGATTCAATTAACCTACCAGCATGTCTTTGGAGTGTGGGAGGAAACCAGAGTACCTGGAGGAAACCCACGCAGGCACAGGGAGAACATGCAAACTCCAGGCAGGTGGTGCCGTGGCTGGGATTCGAACCCACGACCCTAGTACTGCCAGGCAGAAATGCTAACCATTTAGCCACTGTGCTGCCCACATATAAAAAGTATATACCCTGTAGCTGCTCAGTAGACCAAAGAGGTCAATGAAAAAACAAAAGTATGTGGACAACAATATACTAATGAAAACTAAACACTTGAGTCCATAAATAAATAAAAAATAGAAGTGAAACCAGAACCAGTATAGGAGTAGGCCAAAAATAGGGCACATCTATCCAATAGAAAAACCATACTCAGAAGAAGTTTAGAAAAGAGAAAAATAAATATGAAAGATAGGTACCATAATTGTATTGCACACTAAAACTGTGATCCAAGGTATAGTCCATAATGTTCCAAGCAGAAGGAAAGGAACGCATGTTCGATCCACCACTACCACCAGTCCCAAATGGGACTAACAGGTGGTCCCTTCCAGTTTCATGAAATACTGCCCAAAGGGGGGGGGGGGGGGGGAAGGTGCTAACACAAGGCTGTATCTAGATATATATATCTAAAAAACTACTGTTTCTTCTAGTGGTAAATCCCACAAACAGCCAGGCCATTTACATAACTTCCACACACCTTGATCAACTTATGGTTTTATCCAATTAAAGTTGTGTTAAATGCACTAGATCAGTGTGTGTTCTTTCTCATGCTCTGTATGTTTACATTGCTGCAAAGATTATTTCTCATACTTTTATGAGAGCTGCAAGATTTGTTGTGCCAAACTATTCTGAATGAATTTAAAAGGCTGTGTTGAACCATCCACTTTGACTTACAAGCTCGGAATTAGTGGATTTTTGGGGGGCAAATTTTCATTGTTGACACTACAACAGCTGCTCATTGTAAGTTCTATTAAAATGTTGTTGTGAGATATATATATATATATATATATATATATATATATATATATACTTTGCCATAATTTTTAAAAGTCTGCAAATACACTAATTCTTTTTAATGGACTTGCAAGCCAGCCAATGACCCAATTTCTGGATTGCAGGTG